TTAGATTATACATCAGAGTTATATATAATTAATAACCGATAGATAGTTGGATGTGTGCCTTCCGCCTCATTTCCTGTTCCTTGTTTGGTTGTGGGCTTAGGGCAGATCCACACAATTAACTATCTGTTCGGTATTAGATTATATATAACTAGTATAAACCAAGTGATTATAAAAGGAACCATTGTGGTTACTATTTTATTATAAGAAATATGAGTTTTCTTAAAGAATCTTTCTTCAAATATAAAGGAACTATTACAGTTAACTCCGTGAGTACCAAGGGAATACAACAGGGTTATATACAACAAGGATCCAACAACCAATGGGATGTGTGTTTTCCGGCTCATTTCCTGTTCCTTGTTTGGTTGTGGGCTTAGGGCAGATACACACAATCGATTGTTTGTTTATTCTGGGTTTTATATAAGTTGTATCCATTTAATACTCATAGAAAGGACTGTTGAGTCATTTTTACTTATCTTTCATCAAAGCAGGAAATATAGGATTTCCTGGAGGAATAGGCAAACTTTTCTAAACAGAACTTACTACAATTTTCTATAACTTTCTACAAACTTTCTTACTAATACTACATCACCAAAAACCTTATGAACTCACGAGCTTAATTGCTGATCAACTCTTTCAAATAACTTGTATTCTCAGGAGCCTAGTAGACAGGTACTCGCACTGGGATTCGAAAGATGGAGTAGTATAGCTTCAAGTCTTGTTATTATTTGCTTATGTATTCTATGTGTTGTGAACACACACTTTGTAAACACTTTCTTTCTAATGAAATGGTTGTTCATTACTTTGCTTACTATGATGCATGTCTTGTGATACTAAACATGACGTCCTCCACCCCAGAACGTTTCCGCCGTTCCGGTTTTGGGGTGTGACAGTTGATCAGGCTACAATTATCCCCAATATGACTACATAACTGTCCGGGTTTAATCACAATGTTGCATTTCCTCCAGAGACTTTTAGTGTTATAGTTTTAATGTACACCTAGGTATTCGTTTTATTCAGAGTGCTTTAGTCCCATTGTATTTATAGTTGCATATCAAGTATGATTAGATATGTCAGTTCACTATAAACAATGCTCTGATACCAATCTGTCACACCACCGAACCAGACGGCGGAAAACGTTCGGGGGCTTGTGCGTGACTTCATCTTGTAATATCATCACAATGTATATAATTGAAACAAGACAACACCATCATCATACATATCAAAATACAACCAACATTGTTTTCATCAAGTATAGTATCATAAATTACATGTCCAAAATATTCAATGTATGATGATAATAAAATATAACAAATTCCACACTTCTTGTTGACCTTTCCGCTTAACGATTCCCTGAGAATACAAGTTATTTTGAAAACGTCAACATATACAATGTTGGTGGGTTCATAAGCATATTTGAATGAAAAGTTTTGTATTATTCGTAAAACACCAGAAAATCCGATATTTTCTGAAAACTGGTTTGAAAGTGATGTATCAAAATCAAGTATTAATGCATGTGTGTTTTCTGTTTTTGGAAGGTATATACAAATGTAATCCGGATAAAACCCTGTATTTTTGTTGTAAGTAAAAGGTATAGTTTAATTGTATATTTCCCCAGAAAATCCTATATTTTCTGTTTATAAGAGTATCGTGGTCTCAAAACCCTAAGACCGAATATCAGTGTATGCATGTGTTTGTATCAACAAGATTCTATATGTATTCCGTAAAATTATGATGGAGAGGATCTCTATGTGAGCCGTTTTAACCATACTTGATTACGAAGAATTCGCCTGTCGTGGCGCTATCAGGCGTCGTCTTGTTTTTGGTAAGGTTTGTCACCCTAGACTGGTCTAGCCTAGCTGTAGCGAACAACTCAGGTGTGGGGTGTCACCCCGTATAGATCTATACACAAACTCTCGCTCTCCCTCCAGGAGACTCTGGTTATAACTACAGGCTACGATTGTACGCTCGAGAGGTGTCAACCGACGTGTCTCATTAGCATCCTTAACTGAGTTTACACGAATATTGTATCATGTTATGTATAATGTCTTTCCGAGTACGTTTTATGTTTGAAAAGTCCAACGAGTATATATGTGAATGTACGAAGCCCAACAGACATGTAAGAGGACCACTAAGGCCCAATAAACATGTAATGTATACTTTAGGCCCCAAAAGCATGTAAATGGGCCACTAAGGCCCAATAAACATGAAATGCATAATCTAGACCCAATAATCATGTAAATGGGTCACTAAGGCCCAATAACATGGATTGTAAGGGTTATGCCCAATAAACATGCAATCGATGAATTTATTGCGTTTGTTATTACGTTGTTTGTTTTAGCTTGATTTTTTTCTAAAATGACAATAAGAGGCCCATTTTTTTGTAATGATGACATTTTTAGTCCACTTTGGTTAAAACAACATTTTTGGCCCATTATATTAAAAATTGTCATATTCGGCCCATATATATAAATTAATGTTTTCGGCCCATTATTATAAACATTTACATTTTCGACCTAGTTATATATATAACTTTACATTTTTAGCCCTATTAAGATAAAAATGACATTTACGGCCCAAGTTTTGTAAAAATAACATTTTAGGCCCAAATTCAAATAAAGTGACAATTTAAGCCCATAAAAACGTAAAATTTCATTTTTTGGCCCAAATTTGTGTAAAATGACAATTTATTCCATAAAAACCATAAATTTCCAATTTAAGCCCAAACAAACCGTGAAGGCCCACATTAAGGCCCAATATACAAAATTTTACACTTTTGGCCCTTTTTAAAACTGGGATTATCATAAAGAACCACTTTTATGTATATATGACCCTTTTAGTCCATGCAAAACCGTAAATTTCATAAAACTCTATTCTTTTTGTTTATTTGTCAAAAATGGTCCCATTACAATATTTTGTTTAGTTTTTCAACATTCTTAACATGTTTAACACTTTCATCTTTATGGTAAGTTATGTAAAGTGTTTTAGTTCACATATATTGTCGATATCTATGAAGTTCTTCACATAATCACAACATATAACTTAGAAAACACACATAAACATGCACAAATACATAGATCTAACACATAGCAACTTGTATCCTTCCCCAAAACATAGTAAAACCGAAAAACAAGGGGTATGAACTCACCTTGAGGTTTGGATTCGGTTTTTGGTGAGAAGATGAGAAGATTTCGGCCCTAGCAAACTCCTTGAGGAAGCTTTCGAACTTAGATGGTCCTAGCAAGCTAGAACACGAAATGAACCTAAGTAAGGAAGAGTTCTCAACATAAAATGGAGAGTAGGTGTTTGTGTATGATAACAACTTACCAAGAGTGTGAAAAACTTGATGAAAGCCTCTTGAAAACACCCACCAAAATCACGAAATTTTGAGGAGAAGAGGGGCGTTCTTGAGAGAGTTTTTGAGAGATTTTGAAAGAAGAATGAAGGTGGTGAGGGGTGTGTTCGTCCGAGAGTGATAAGAAGAGAGAGAAGGAAGTTGATTTGTGGTTATTACATGATGGTCTAAGAAAATCCTAGCCTAGATTACCATTAAACAAAGATTAGGTGGCAAGCTTACCATTTACTTGATTTCTCCATTCTTTTTTTTACCAATATGTATATATATATATATATATATATATATATATATATATATATATATATGTGTGTGTGTGTGTGTGTGTGTGTGTGGGCCGAGAATGGGCTAGGAGAAAAGAAGTGAGAAGATTTGGGCCCTTTCTTGTCTTATTTCGGGTTTATGAGGCCCAAAATAAAATATTTTTCGGCCCATTGGGCCTTTATGGAAGTTCACGACCCAATGAAACCCAAGGGAGTAGTTTACAGCCCATTAGGGCCAATGAAATCATTTATGGCCCAACATGGCCCATTAGAGATTATATGAACTATTCGGCCCATATGGCCCAAAATGTTTTAGTTTCACGAATGTGGTTTCAATTAGAGCGCAAATAGGGTTCCTTGGCCCAAAATGGTCAAATTGAAAGTTTATTGGTCTATTAGGCCCAATAAGAGGATCCTAGTCCATATTAACTTGAGCTGAGATTTCTTGGGTTTTCAATCCATATGAGATGTATTGTATTAGGTTTTGAACTTAAATCAAGAGTTTGTATTCAAATGGATGGTTTTGATTGAGCATAGAGTATGATTTTCACTTAGAGTACATGCCTTACAATAAATGATGTTTACATGAGAATAGAATTTCCTAGCTAAAAATGCTAGTTGTGACAATACCTAACTGTCATCACATTGCAAAGTCTTTAAAACCGCTCCAGAGACCGTACCCCAGGAGCAGGATGCTAGGTGGGGCTGCTAGGCAGTGCAGGCTGGCTGGCTTACTGAAGGGTTAACAGTTTCTTTCCCTATCAAATCTTGAGTTTTTTTACCAAACCGTATATTTTAAAAAGATATTTACCAAAATAGTATGGTTTTAAAAATATTAACCTTTTAGGTTAAATTTTATACCGAAATCAAAACTAGAATGTAAAATAAAAAAAAAAATTTGAATTATCAGAGTAATTGCCTCTTCGTTTTGTTCATATCTAGATAACTTAATTTTTTGTGTGCACATCTTGATAACGAATTTGTTGGAAATGTTCACATATGACCATTATGACCGGTTATAATTTGATACAACCGATTAAAATGGTCATCTGTAAATACTTCGAACAAATTCTTTATCTAAATATGTACAAAAAAATGAAGTTGTAAGATGCGAACAAAACGAAAAGATAACTTTTCTAAAAAATCTATTTTCGAATTTCAAATCATGTTTTATCCCCTCCATTCACTTAAAAAAAAAAAATTCAAACACATATATACCTACCCGTTCACATAAAAATACACCAAAAAATTATAAATACATAGAAAATAAGCCATAAACCAGCCAAAAATAATTCACTTTCTCAAATCGTTTCTTATGTGTGTGAGTTATTATTAACAGAAAGAAAAAGACAACGAACCCTTACCCCCATAAAACCCTGTGCTCTACCCTACCCCTACCCCCACCCCCTCCACCCTTGCCTCTTACCCCTACCAGTACCCACCCTCTCCTCCGAACCCATTTTCAAGAATGCCCTAAAACTACTCTCAATCACCACCGCCACCGCAAGAACACCATCACAATGTCATATAACGCTACCCACCGGCGAAACCTATCAGTTCCCACCCCTCAAACAGCCATAGATCCCACCACCGCAAACCACCACCCACCTCCCTCAACCACTATCCAGGATATATCCACTCACTTCTCAAGATTATACTTGAATCACAAAGCTCGATCCTTTTCAAAACCCTCCATTCACCCTCAAGCTGAGTTCACCGTCTCCCACCGCCTCGGCCTCGCCGCCGCATCTTTGACCAAATCGCAGAGTCAAAGAACCAGAGGAAACCCGCATTTTATTAACGAGGAGCATCAGGAAGAAAGCATCAAGAAAGCCATTGTAATTAGCAACAACGAACCCAGGAAGAATGTAAATTTATTGCCAGGAAATCAAGAAAAGATGAGGAAATTACAACAAGGGTATGGGATAAAGATGCAATCTTTGCCATTATTTGGATTCGATAGGGGCAAAAGAAGATCATTTGGGTGTAGCTCGAAGGGGGAACTAGCCGATTTCTTGATCTTTAATGGCGTCAAAGTGGTGTCTGCTGACATGCCTCCATTCATGCAAATTCATGCTGTGGATATAACAAGAAAGACGTATGATAGCTTGGAAAAATTCGCTGCAAAGACGCTTGCTTCGACTCTCAAAAAGGTAAACGATTAAAGCTTTTATGACTCTTAATTTCTTACTAATTATGCACAAATATTTTGTGTTTTTTGGCGGGGTTATTACCAATTATTGTCATGATTTTGATGTTTCTTTATTGTTACATATTTTAACTGATTTATGGTGACATGCCCTACACATTAATTAATCTGTTGAGCTATTATCTAATTTTTTTCAATTCTTTTTAATGATTTTGGGTCGAGTTATTTGAACCCAAAAAATGTATATATTGTCCAATAAATTATTTGATTAATTATACGTAAATGTTATTTGTATATGATACCAGGAATAATTAACGAATCTTCATTATTTGGTTTATTTCTTTGTTTTCATAAAATAAAAGGTTTATTGTAAAAAATGAACACACTTGTATTATTTATCAAATCAAGCATACATGGTTTTTAATCATTTATGTCACAAACCATCATTTATTTTCTTTTTATGTAAAATTTAGCCATGTCAATGTAACAAACTTACTGATTTACTATTTACCTGAAATAATTAAAAAGTTAGATTCATTATCTTAAATGGTGAAAACTGAAAAGTTATAGTATGCAGATTGATAAATACTACAAAGAATGTTCTTTTTTTTACATTTAGCCCTAAATAATAGATTATTATATAACCTTTTTTGTAGTTTTGGCTAAATTATTTCTAGTTTTCACATGTATTTCAAAATTACATGTGTTGGATCCATCGTCCATTATCCAACAATCATATCTTACCAATTGTAGCATTTATGGTTGAATGAAAATTAAATGACTTGACCAAATGGATAAAAACAGTAACATCATTTTAATTTTTTTTATATATATATATTTCTTACATAGCAATCATTAATGGATAAAAACAGTAACATCATAAAAATTGTACCAACTCCAGTTGGAAAGTGACTTCCCATTATTGACTGACATGAATAGAGAATTGACACTGGCAAAAACAATTTAGCATATGATTCCTATTACATCTTATCATCTCAGTAACTTATTTATTTTTGTAATGAAAATTATTTAACATTTTTACTTGCTTATAATTATTTTTTGTTTTATGTATTAAAAGACACAAAAATTATTGGTCATTTTAGAATCGCTAATAATTCTTAATGTTATTTTGCAGGAGTTCGATGAGATTTATGGACCAGCATGGCATTGTATTGTTGGGTTGAATTTTGGGTCATTTGTGACACATTCAGTGGGTGGATTCTTGTATTTCTCCATAGATCAGAAGCTATATGTTCTCTTGTTCAAGACTTCAGTTCAAAGAGCACATTGACTAAAAACTTGACCTAAAAATATTATATAATTCGTATCAATGAACAAGCTGACAACTGCTTTTTCCCCTGGGTATAATTAGGTTGGGGAAAAGGTGAAGTGTCCTACCCCTTATGTAACCTGCCTTGTACATTCATTATATGCTTGAGAAATTATTCCCAATGCAAATAAGTGCAACCACTTGTTAAAATGAGTTGTACCTTATGCATCATGACTAGTATCTTATGGATTAATTGTTGTACTTTGGTTTTGAAGTAGAGGGTACCAAAGGCGAACGTCGATGGTTGTTCATGGTTTTTCATTGGTTGATTATGCCTTTAGCTCATGAAATAGTTAGCGTTGGTAAGATATTACAGGTTTGTTTTTCTTGTAGAACGCTTATATTTTTATTTCACAATATCTATTAATGTTGTATGATTGTGTTTTTATTTTCTTTGAACGACTGAAATATATTAAGGCTAGCAACGCATTAAAAAAACGTCACACAAACATTACAAGATGGGAAAGAAAGGGGTATTACACCACACAAACCAATCTATTAAATGAAATTTCGATCTATGTTTTATCCATTTAAAAGAGCTAAGTCGTATGTCATCTGTTGTTTTCAAAGGAAAACTTTTCAACTTTTTGAACATGTTGAGATACCAAAAAAAAACTGCATAAATCAAAAGCCCATCTAAGCTTGGAGGTTGGAGCCCATTTTCTCAACCCATTATCTCCACCTTTGACATGAGATTGGCACTATTGGCTGGCAAACCTGGAAGCAGACCCGATCAATTGCTCCACCACCTCCACATAACCTTCGCATAATAACAATCAAAGAAAAGATGATCCACATCATCCTCAACATTCAAGAAAAAAGGACAAAGGGGAGACATCAAATTATCAAAACCACGCCTCTCGCTATAATATTCTTGTTGACATGGATTTTATCCAAGAATAACCTACAAGGAAAACAACTACCTTGATAGGAAATCCAGTTCACCCACATAAACTGAAAAGTAAGATTCCCCACATACCTATCTACTTTTGCTAACACCTCATGCAACGAATGAACTGAAAAAAGACTTGAGGCATTACATTTCCATCTCCTGGAATCACAGGCAACAAACAAGCTAATTACAATAATTTCATTGTACATCTCCACCAACGACTCAGCTTCTATCCCCCTTCTTAACTGCCTCGACAATTGCTTTGAAAGCAATTGGAACCCTTACATGTAATATGTCACAAACCAATAGTTTTTGTTCACCTCAATGCGATAAAGTTCCATAAACAAATCTTTAAGGATCAACCTGTCACACCATTTGTCTTTCCAAAAGTGACTACTCTTTCCATCACCCAAATGTCTCACCATTAAATCTTAAAGATTGACTCCCCAGTCTCTAGCTAACATCCTCTATGATCTTTGAAATAGTATTCCAAATACCAGGAATGGAGACCTTAACCAAAGGCTTCCTGTCAATGCCAGAAAGCTTATACCAAACTTTGATACATCTGGACCATAGGCCATTATATCCCTTTTTAAGTCCCCAATGACATTTGACCAAAAGTGAAACACTGTGATTTTTCATCTCATTTTTTTAAAAGCATTATTTAACAGATTTAGACAACGGAAGTCTTATTTATTATATTGAAAACATGAACAATATTACTTTAAAAAACAAACCATTTGCAAAACGGTTCCAAAACCAAGTACAAATGAAACATCACAACAAGTATCAAACTGATATCATCTCTAAATAACATAACAATAACTACCCAAAAGTCCTAACCTCACCAGGCCATCAATATCAAGCTACCTGTACCAACGCAAGGCCACAACAACCAAAGAAACAAGTGTCAGCATCAGCACAGTGAGTCAATCACAATCACATGTATAGGAAAATAAACCTACTTCATACAAGATGTTTAGTCATGCAATCTAATCGTGTCAATCAAAATTCATCTCTTATTATATATATATATATATATATATATATATATATATATATATATATATATATATATATATATATATATATATATATATATATATATATATATATATATATAGACACACACACACACATATATATTGCATATCTTATTCTGGATATTCTTTCCTCGCAATAATTATTTTATTATGTTCATCGCTATAATTACTTTTAATGTCCCTCGTTACATGGGTCTAAAACATTGCTAAAATCCTCAAAGAAAGACCTGGTTAGCTAATAACGTGACCTGACGACTCAGTGCACAAAATAAGGTATGAATCCCACCTGTAACACTGTCCCTGGTTTTCCGTGTTCACTACTCCGACTTTGAGTAGCCAACATCACTCCAGTCCCCGTACACCAAGTACACCAGAACCATGTTTCAAAATGGTTACCTAGAAAACCACTCGACATCGATTTGGCTTAAGCTCTTTCCTCCAACGCTATCCTTCCACCACGATATCCAATAGGGCACACACTTAAGTTTAGGTTTCTACCTTTTTACCCCCGCTATATGTATTCCCCTTTATTTTAATTAATTTTATAATTAATTAATCCACTTATATGGGGCATACACACACCTCTTCCACATACATCTTTGCCAATTTCTCAAACTTCTCATTCTCCTTGGTTGCCAAAAAAGTGGGTGCTTTTCGTCAACCGGTCCACATTTATCCAAATCATATCATTGCCTTGCGACGTTGTCGATAATTTTCTGACGAAATCCATCGTGATCTTATCCTATTTCCACTAGGGATTCTCTGATTGCTATAATTCACCATAGGGTTGATGTGATCAACATTGACTTGAGCATAAGTCACACACTCCGACACGTATTTTGTTATCTCCTACTTCATAACTGGCAACCAATAATTGGCTTTCGGGTCTCGCTACATCTTTGTCATGCCTGGGTGGATCGAATACTTCAATCTATGTGTGTCTCATAATAGTGTGTCATGAACAACACCCACCTTAAGGACCCATAGTTGCCCTTGAAAGATCCTAAGTCGCCGACTATCTTCCACCAAAATTGCTTGCTACTTGACCATTATCTCACCCTTCACATGGTCTTCTTTCAAACCCTCAGCCCGAGCAACCCGTAACTGCTCAAATATACTCGAAACCACAACCAATACCATAGACTTCAGGTGACAAGACACCCTCGGTTCCTTACGACTCAGAGCATCAACTACCACATTTGATTTCCCTGGATGATAACTAATCTCTCAATCGTAACCTGCAAGCCACTCTACCCATCTTCGTTTTCTCATATTCAATTCTTTTTATTCTGAATATGCTGAAAGCTCTTATGATTAGTATATAATTGAGTGCAAATACATCAACTGCGAACTCCAAATCATGCACTGAGTAATTTAGCTCACAGAGTTGCACCTGATGATACCCTGAATGTAAATCTATCTTCGAAAAGTGACTAGATCTCTATAAATGATCAAGGAGATCATCGATCCTCAGGTGTGGGTATTTATTCTTCACATTCACCTTATTCAATTCATGGTAGTCAATACACATTCACATAGAGCCATCCTTTTTCTTCACAAATAGGACCGGTGCTCCCCAAGGTGAGGAACTCGGTCTGATGAAACCCCGCTCTAATAACTCATGCAACTAAGACCACATCTCCTTCATCTCTGATGGAGCTAACCAATATGGCGCCTTGGCTACCGAAGCCGCGCCAGGAATGAGATTGATATGGAACTCTACCTCCCTTGGTGGCGGTAAACTAGGCAACTAATCAGGAAAAATATCACTAAATTCCATAACCACCTCAATGTCGGGAAGATCCATTATCTTCCTTGCGCTCTCGATCTCATGAACCCAATAAGACGTTACATCCCTTTGCCAGGAACTTACGTGCCTTCATCGCATAAATAATCGGCATAGACCCCAAAGATTTTTGCCCATGAGTAATAATATTTCCTCCCTCAGCAAGTTTATCAAACAAACTTCTCAAAACAAAGGATCTTAGCCCGATTGGCAGGCAACAAATCCATACCAAGGACAACGTCGAAAATTTTGATCCTTATCGGAATCAGAGTCAGATAAAAGGTGTGACCAGAGATTACGATCGAACGCCCATCTAATTTCTCCCGCACCATAACAGAATTCCTTATTAATGCATAACTCAATGGACTATGAGGAATCACAAATCGAGCATAAAAGACGATAACACATAAAGGTCTACCATTCCTACCTCCATTCCACCTATGAGTACCGTCCACCAGGTCCTCGGGTTTCCTTGTGGTTCTTCTAGTCCCAAACATATATCTTGTGCTTATGATAGTACGGGCCCAATACTAACATTCACACCTACATATGTTTTCTTCGGGCATTACCATGAAGTTTCCTTTCTCCTCGGTTTAGGTTAGAGGCTTGTATACCTATTTCATTTTCCAACTTCCATACCATGCTTGAACTCTTAGAATAAATAGAGGTTCTCTTTCTACTCCGACATTGACCAAAGATAAGCCAATAGCTTGGAAATCTTCCTGAATCCATGCATTCCAAGCATCACCCTAAGATGATCCTCCATTTCACCGATACGCGCAACACCAATCGAGCTATGAATTTTTTGGGATAACTGATCTTTTCGGTCACAAGCAACTTCACACATTGGAAATGCAACCTGCCTCAATACTTTTTGGTAATTTAGACCACTTCTTGTCACTCCTCGATTGTTGTTCCTTAGGGATGGAACCATTTTCTTAAATGTTGAGTGATATTAACGACTACTGGGTCCGCAAGAAAGAAGAGAGGATGTTTCAATATCGAAAAGAGTAAGAAACCTAAGGCATATAACAAATAACATAAAACTCTCAGCACACCCCCACCCTTTAAAATCCTAAAGCACCTAATTGATTCAGTATACATGTGAGTATGAACACCGAACTCTGTATTCAGGTTACTCACAACATGGCTTTGATACCAACTTGTAACACCGTGATTTTCACCTCATTTTTTTATTTTAAAAGTATCATTTAACAGATTTAGGTAACACGAGTCTTATTTATTGTATTGAAAACATCACCAGTATTACTTTAAAAAAAACCATCAAAATTTAAAGTTGCAAGTTGGTACGAAAACAAGTACCAAAACCAAGTATAAATAAAACATCACACCAAGTCTCAAACTGGTATCATCTCTAAATAACGTAATAAGAACTACCCAAAAGTCCTAACCTCACCAGGCCATCAATATCAAGCTATCTATGCCAATGCAAAGCAAAAACAACAAGCAAGGAAACAAATGTTAGCATCAACACA